ATATATAATACACATATATAATACACATATATAATATGTATATATAATATGTATATAGTCATTTTGTTCTCATCGTCTTCCTATCCTAATGGGAGAGTAGGTTATCTAAACAATTCCGGTGGTTCTTTGGTACCTAAATAACTCCTCGAATACAATGGTATTTTACACCAGGCAAATCTTTGACTCTACCTCCTCGAACCATATATATATCGTCAAACAGAATGGTCCGGTAAACCGTAGGCAGAGAGGGAGAAAGAGGACAACAAACGACGAGGGGCTGTGACAAACTGTTTATATACATGTGTATATATATATCGTCGCCGCTCAAGAGGTTCTGAACAGGGGGAGTTGTACGTAAGAAGAATAAAAAATGAATTGATATCTTTTTGTTTTTTTTTCCGCTTTTGAGCTCTGATAACTCTGTGACGATATATAAATGTGTATATATCGTCACAAAAATGTCTGTATATTTTTTTTTGTCACAAAAATATCAGAGCGCAAATGCGAAAAAAAAGAAAGAAAAAAAGGAAGGGAAAAAAAAAAAAAGATGAAAAACATAAAAAATGAAGAAAAACAAAAAAAAATGAATTATATATCGTCAAACAGAGCTGCCCGGTATATTATGTGTATATATATCGTCACAAAGTTATATATCGTCAAACATATACATATATATATATTTGTCACAAAAATATCAGAGCGCAAAATCGAAAAAAAATTAAAAAACAGAAAGAAAACAGGGAAAAAATGAGTTCGTTTTTTTAATCTTCTTCCTTACAACTCCCCATATCGACAGACAAAGTCGCCACACTCGAGGGCATTGCGCAGAAATCTGTCCAACAACAATAAATCGTGGCCACCGATCCGTGCTATCAACGACAAAGCCGTGACGATGGATGAAAACTGAAATTCTTTTTTTATTTATATGTATGTATATAATATAAAAATGAAAAAAAAAAAGAATAAGAATAAGATTGGCCAGGATTCGACATGTGGAACGGGTAACAATGACGGCGCCGTTTTCCTTGGTAGAACTAAAGATATCCATCCACGTGGATCCCCTTCTTATCCTTCTCTCGGATAAGAAGGTATATACTACTCGTTCCACGTCAGCAAAGTCGTGCTGACGTCCACGAAAAACAACATGGAAAGGGTTAGGCGACATTGTGATAACGGTGATGGTGGCATTAGTGATCATGGTGATGGCTATGGCAGTGGTGATTGTGACAGCGACGATGCTGATAATGGAGATGATGGCCACGCTGATGCTGATGCTGATGCTGATGCAGATGCTGATGCTGATGCTGATGACAATGGTGATGGTGATAGTGATGCTGATGCTGATGCTGATGCTGATGCTGATGCTGATCCTGACGACAATGGTGATGATGATGATGATGGTGATGGTGATGGTGACGACGATGCTGATGGTGATGGTGATGGTGACGACAATGTCGATGACGATGGTGAGGGTGAGGGTGAGGGTTAGGGTGACGGTGATTGAAATCGAGACGATGGCGATGATGGCGATGATGGTGATGATGGTGATGATGGTGATGAGATGATGGTGATGGTAACGTTGATGCTGATGACGGTGATAATGGCGATGATGGTGATGATGGTGATGATTATGATGGTGACGATGATGATAATGACGACGACGATGACAAACAATTATCAAGATCATTCTCTCGACATAACGTCAACACAAAAATCAAGAAGAAGCATAGTGTACAAACGACTTTCAGACCTCGCTCTCTCAACGCAAAATGAGCATGCATAGTAGTGCAACTGTCTCCTGGAGTGCAATATCTCGTCGACCGCCCCGCTAGCATCATGGATTCTATCCGCCTTTACCATTGTATATAGCATGCACATAGATAATGCATCAGCACTGTCGTTCAGAAAGCGATAAATTCTATACATAGCTCTTCTGATAAGAGGCTACATCCATTCAATCCAGGTTATAAGTGTCCTGGTACAGAGCTCAAGGAGACGGCCAACCTCAAAAATAGAAAATCAGAAAAGGGTCATTATGGGGATAGCATAGCAAGCAGAAGACAAACCTTCACTGCACGACAAATCTCAACCGACATCCTGTCCGACCGTGTTCGGCGCAGACAGGCCAGGTCAGCACATCAACAACAGGTAGAAAACGGAGCATATTCACACTGGCTTCCTAGTGCCCTCTCTCGTTGTATGTATACGACCGTAACGACGGGTAAATTCAGCCACAGAAGGGTGTGCGAGCACGGCCTGCAATAAGTGTTTCAGTCTGAAAGAGCTCGTACTAAGAACCTGCAAGTCTCTATCTTCACACCAAACCAATCAGTACTCTACTACACGCTCCCGATCGTTCTCTCTCGAGACTTGTGCATACGGTCTGCAGGTCAAAAGGGCGGGGGAGGGGAGAGAGAGAGAGAGAGAGAGAGAGAGATGATCTTACCAGGACCAGGTCGGGCACTTCGCTACCAGGTTGTCTCCCGCCTGCACAAACTCTTCTGGCGTCAACACCCCTTTTTCTTTGAACGCAGATACCGATCGAGCGGGAGTGATCGACTCTGCCACAGCCACAAACACCTTATGGAGCTTGTCCATTCTCTCTCTCTCTCTCTCTCTCTCTCTCTCTCTCTCTCTCTCTCTCTCTCTCTCTCTCTCTCTC